CAGATGCACTTGAATGGTACAGCCTGGATGATTTCTTCCTCCTCATCACTTAACTTGTCATCACTCTCTGCCCTACCACCTTGATCACCTCTTTCATTATGTCATATCTATCCATAATCCTGAACAGGCTCAATACCAGCCAACAACTCAAGTAAATCTCTTTCTATAAAATCATAACAAGAAAATTATTATTTCATGCACCGTCGTCTCTAAAATTAACAATCTTACACAAAAGCACATGTAACCTCTAAATTCTTAATATACCTGACTGTGTTAGGTCTGTGTATTAGAACAACACACAAACAATATTTAGAAGAAAATTGAAAAACTTGAAAATTGAAAATATTAAACTACAGTTTGCACAATTTAAACAACCATCCACAACTAGATACAAACAGGCATCGTACTCAGAAAACATTTATAAAATACATACAAATAACAATACCTTCAGACTCATCTGAAAACCAATGTCCATCATCAGTTGTATTCGCTGTCAACTGTCCAACTGATATGATCCACATCGAAATCCAAAAGCATATGCATGGATGTTTTCATTGGCAAACTCATCAGGAATAGGGTCGAACTAAAGGGTTGAATTTAATATTTGAAATATTACGCCATAATGTGTACAGTGTATTTATAAAATTACAGTACAATATTGAAAATAGCAAAGCGGAAATTTGAAACAAGTCAACTGTATTGCATTGTAGGATACCAACCTTAAATATTGCGTTTGTTGATGATACACGGAGATTCCATCCAACTTAGAAAGAAGAGCCTTGCTATTGGGAATAACACAATTCCTTCGCGGATTATTTATAAAGCTATATAAAAAAGACAGCACGTCCCATGCAATTTAATATAAGGTAAACTTGGTATAGTAAAACACAAGTCATAATGAGGATCGCAACAATACAGCAATAACATGCTATTTTCACGAAGTATTGCAGCCTGACAATCTTGTATTTCGAATGCTTCCATATTTGTTTACTCGGAGAGATGTTCACTCCACGACAGTCAAAGAGTCATTGAAGCCAC